AGCCACAGCTCCGGCCCAGTTCAGCTGTTAATTTATTCCCATGGAGATACTGCCTGATCCTTTACAGATTATTTAAGCGTTGTCTTTTTTTTTTTCTTTTTTTTTTTGAGGTATACAATGTAAATAAAATGCATTGTGGTCTGAGAATGGGTTTCCGGGTGAAACAGCAGCAGGTTCAGCCTGTGGAGGTGTGAAGGGGAAGAAAAACTGCTTCCCAAAGGGCGCAAGGCCTGTGCCTGGGGGGGAAAGAAGATCCCCTGCCCGCAGCAATGCCTGGGCTCTGGGGACAGCCCCCCTCGCCCAGCGGAGCGGGGCCATGGCCTCACCGTGCTGGCCATGCTGAGGCCTGTTGAACTCGCTGCACCCGCTCTGCAGCCGCCCTGCAGAGCAGGATAGGGCCGGGCTCCCTCCCTGCTCCGCGCAGCCCCTCGCTGCCTGCAGCCCCCGCAGTAACACAAAACACGAGAGGACATCGAGAGTAAAGTTAAACTTTACTTTACAGTAATTTTTCTTCTATATACAAAGAATTACAGTACATGTTCTGGGAGCACCTGGGCAGGGCAACCCTCTTTTCATTGTAAGTTTCACATACACAGCCAACAGTCTAAGGGGAGCAAAATGAAAGTAATCAATGGTCCAAGACTCTCCCCTCTCCCTCTTCTAAAAATAATATACATGCTGGAAAGATGTAGGTTTCTCTCACCCACTCTGGCATTCTCAGCGTGGAAGTGACAAGACCTGGACAGCTCCGAGGAGCTGCGTGTGTCCCGGGAGCACCCGCGTCCCCGCACTTCAGTCGTGTTTTCCTTCTACAAAAGGGGGCCCTGCAGGAGCTTCCCCTCCAGGCCCTGGCGATGCCAGCAGAGGAACCCGCCGAGGCTGCTCCCCCTGCGCTGCTCCGTGCCGGGGCCCTCGGCCCTCGCGCGCGGGCTCAGCTAGCACCAAGTCCTGCCGCTCCGAACGGCGCCTTCCCCGGCGCACACGGTGCCCTCGGCTCCTACCCGTCACCCACCTAACGCTCCTGAGCAGCCTCGTGCACCGTCTCCCCTGGGAAGGCTGTGGGACAGGGCCGCCTTCCCCGGGGTGCCGGAGGGAGCTCCCCGCGCCGGCACCGCCGCCGCCGGCAGGAACTCGGTGCCGCTCGCGCCGGCCAGGGCAGCGCTCAGCTCCGGCCTTGCGTCACCTTGAGCCTCCCGGTGCTGCTGCTTTGCCTTTTAGTACGTTCCCAGTGTCAAGAAAACAAAAAACAAAAAAAAACAGAAAACCACAAAACCCAGTTCCTTGAAGTCAACAACTAGGAAACATCAGAAAAACAAAACAAAACAAAACTGAAACCAGCTCAGTACCAAACAGACACGAAGAACATGCAGTTAGCAGATGCCTGGCTTGGTTGGCATGGCTCCGGTCGCTCTCTGCACTAACGGGGCCCCCCGGCACGCTGGCTTGACTCTCAAAACCACCACAAATCCGAGGAATTGAGTCTCTCCAAGCTTAGGAGACATGCCTTGCCCTGTTGCTGTCACACACACCAAAGCCCAAGCCCCAGGTATCAGGGGACAGGATTCAGCTGAGAAAAGCTCCAGCCCCACAGCCGGGAGCTGTGACTTCAGCCCTACTGTGCTGAGCTGCCAAACGTTTTACAATAGCACCACAATAGCCCAAGTGCTTAGCCAAGGGCAAACTGATTAAAACTTTACCTTGGAATAGGACATAGCATCATCCGTTTCTCGAGATTTCCCTCGGAGGTAGATTCAGTGCTGTAGGGCCTGTCCGTCACTGCCGCTTCTCCAGCCCACACCGCGGTCCCCCACGCTGTCCCGCTGCGGTGCCTCACTCCATCTTAGAGCACACACGAGGGCACGGCCACCCCGTCCCGCGCACGGGCGAGCGGCGGAGCGGTCCCCAACCTGCAGCGTCCCATCTCCCAGGGCCTGGGAACGCAGCGCGCCCCTCGGCGAGGCCAAAGGGAGGGCCTCGCTTGCCAACGCCTCCCCTGGGGCCACCAAACGGCGACACGAGAGCTCGCTGCACCCCGCGGCCGCCTCTGTAGCTTCCTTGCAGAGTAGCTTGACACTTTGCTTTAACATCGCTGGCAAAGGCTGAAAGACTCATCAGTAACTTAGGGCAAAGCACATTACAAGCAGGTTACAATTACGGTTATTCCAAACATCAAGCAAACTCAGAAGTTAAGGCTGAAATTAAAAACAAACTGAAGGTGTGGAAGGTTTGAGGTCTCTCAAACAAACTCTCCTCTACCCTGTAGTGATGCTGGCTGCCTCGTCCACGTACAAGCACCGTAGATACCAACTGTGTGCCCACGTTAAACCAAGAGGCACTAGGGTTAGGCCTCCTTTTTCTTTTTTTTTTCTCCCCCAAAAAACAGCCTCATAGCTTTTTTAGTACCCTAGTTCTGCATCTTCTCACCTTAACATATTCCTTTCCTCCTCTTTAGCTTTAACCATATATCTGATCGCTTGAAATTTTAATACTGCCCCCACCTTTAAAGGAAAGCCTGAAGATAGTGGGGAGGGAGGGAAGGGGGTTAAACCCTAAATTATAACGCATGCTCCCAAAGTACTACCAGGATAGCTTGTGTGTGGAAATGAACCTGTTAGTCTTTAAATAGGAGAAGTTTTAATTCGAGAACAGTCCTGAAGACTGCCAGCTCGAATCTGAGATTCCTCAGCCTGGGATTCTCCCTTCCGAGGGGATGGCCGGGAGCCAGAGGGCCCGCAGCCCTGGCTGGCAGGCCCAGCCCGAGGGAGCCCAGGAAGCCGGTGGCACCGGGAGCGAGACGGCAGCCCGAGCCCTGCTCCACTCCGGCACACGCGCCCCACGGATGCTCCGCACCGTTCCCTGCGGGCGAATGGGTCCATCCCGATCAGAGCCGTGGGACATCACGGGTTTCTACAAGCGGAGCTACGGCCCAACAGAAAAGGCAGCGCCGCACAGCCCCTTCCTGCGGCACAGACCAGCACGGGCAGCTTCCCTCCGGCATCAACGCCCTGCCAGGGCACCGCGCTACTCGAGTGTTGAAAACGTCAGTGATTCGACCCGGTGACACTCAGCAAGGCCGCGGGGAAGCTCAGGAGCCGCACGGAGCGCCCCCGGCCACCGCCACGGCCCCGCAAGGGCCGGAGCAGCTCCCGTTTCCCGCGTCAGGACGGTGCTGCCCAAAGCTCTCTGCCCCCTGCGCCCACCTTGCTCGCCTGCAGGTGACAGACAGGCTGGTAAGAGGGGCACATCTCAGTCAGGCCTGGAGGGACCCATCTCCAACCTTCCCAGGCCCTGCCCATTTTGCTGAGGTGACCCAGCCCACTCATTCCTAGGAGCATTTAATCTTCCCCTGCGAACCCTGGGCACATCTATAAAACCCTCCTTCTTTGCCACGTTACCCAGGGGAGCACAAGGGTTGAGGAGAACAACACTTGCTGGCTTCCTCTTTCAACATTACCAAACGCCAGGTCACTGTTTACTGCTACCAGCTACCATCAAAGTCAACTTTCCAACACATAGCTGGAAGGTTAGCAAGCTGGAAAACGGGTTCCTCACGGAAAAGGCATGAAGGGAAACAAGAAGGGAGGCGGGGTAAAGTCGGATGCAAGGAATAAGGCCGCGGGTTTGACACGCCATGCAACAGCTCAGTCTACGTGCACTGTTCAAACACGGTTCTCGGTAACGGCTTGCTGTGCGAAAGGCTTCCGCTGCTGCGAACCTCACCCTAGCGTTTGAGCACACCACTTATAGAAGGGATTTTTCAAACCTGCACTCACGAGAATTCATTGAGAACTTCTCCATCATACAGATTTAAAATAGCCTGCACCAAAAATATTCACAGTTTATTTTTCATGAAACAAATAACTAGTTAACACATGACAATGCAAAGCAGAGTTGGACAGAGCAGTGCAGATACCTTTCTGGTTACAGCTGTAGCTGGCTGGGTGGCTGGCACGGAGGTAACCCTACTTACACAATCTACATGACTAAGTCCAGCTCATGGGAAGGCCTATAAATGCAAATTCAAGATTTATTTTTCCTTCTCACACATGATAAATACTTAATATACTTGACCTCAATACCATTTTTAAAATTTTGTTTAAAAAAAGTTAATAAATGCCCTTAGTATATCTTCTCTCTCAATGGTTCTGAGGAGTTGTCCTGATTCCCTTTGTGCAGGAGTCACGCAGAAACACAAGCTGCTCGTATTTCCCCAGTTTCAGCAGCAAGCAGGAATCGACCTGCCAGTCTTCCCGGAAAAATGACATTAAACAGTAAGTTTCCATAAGCCATAAAGCTTTTTCGAAGTCGCTAGCTATTCTACAAAGGATCTGAAATGATTCGGACTAGAGAAGGGATACACCATAGCACTGGTAATGTCCCCTTGTGCCCAGCACACCCAGCCTTTACAGCAGGACATTGTCTTGGGTGCACACAGCAGGAAAGGAGAGCGGATCAGGATTTGTCTTGCTACAAGTGTCTGTCTCCCTTCATAAAACACTGCAAAGCTAAAGACCACCCGGCTCCGGGAGCAGCAAGCACTTGCAAGCCAAATGCTAACAACGACCTGCTCCCAAGTCAGGAGGAAAGGGTCGGCCTGGAGGTAAACTCTGTCCTTGGGGGGAGACCTACGGATCTGCCCGGCCCTGGAAGGACACACTGGAGCTGTACAAGAGGCGGGCGGCTGGCACGGAGCACCCCGAGGCTGCGGGAGCTGCGTCAGCGGAGCTCAGGCAAGTCATGGAGGTAACGTGTTGTGAGAGTGGGAGGGGGTGCTGGCCAGGCAACGCTGCCTGTTGGCGGGACACCAAACCCCATCAAAGCCGGGCAGTGCCACCCGGGGACACCTGCCCTCCTCCTGGCTC